CCTCTCCTCCTAGCATTTAGAAATAGATATGAAAGTCTTCAAAATGATAGTAATTCTTTTTTTTTCTGTCTTCATTCATGATTCTTCTTTATCTTTGATTTTCTGCAATTGGAAAACTATGTATCTACATGTAATTTTTCTTGGCATTCATTCTACTTGAGGCCCTCTGAACTTCCTGGGTTTTGGTGGTATGTTTGTATATGGCTTGTCCTCTCCAAAATTCATGTTGGAGCTCATTCCCCATTGTGAGGTACTGAGAGGGTGAAAACTTAATCTGGCTGGGATGTGCAGCAGTAGGGCCTTTGGGAGTGAGTAAGATTAGACAGAAGTCATCATATGGAGCCCCATGATGAACTCCTGGTGGCCTTTAAGAAAAGGGATACAGAAAGAGAACTACCAAGTCAATTCTGGTGGAGAGCTTGGTGGAAATGGAATGCAGCTTGCTGCCCTGCACTCCTCTAGGTCCTCCAGCCCCTGCCCCAAGAACAAGCTGCGAGGACACCAGGACAGGCCACAGCCAATGCCCTAAAGACCTGTGTAGCTCTTGCTGCAACTCCCTACTGGGCCGGCTCAGGCCTTGGAGCCCTGGAGAATTGGGCCCCTTCTCCCCTCAGTGGCCACCTCTCTGAGCCTGAACCTCTCTAGCTGACAGGTCTCCAGCCCCCCACCCCCACCCAGCCTAGCCAAGCCCCCACAAGGCCACTGAGGACCTGGCGCTTCTGTGTAATTTCAGGCATGGCATGGTGAAAATAAAGGCCACCTCCAGGATGCTGAGGAGGGCCATGACCTCAAGGCCCTGAGAAGCCAGGTCTAGGCAGCAAAGTGAGGCCAACACACCCACACACACACACACACACACACACACACTTCCCTGTCTCTTGCCATGTGATGCCTGTGCTACCGTGCTCCTTTCCCAGCAAAATGGGCATCACCAGATGTGCTCCCTGGATCTTGCACCTCCAGAACTGTGAGACAAAATTAATCTCATTTCTTTATAATGCCGAGTCTGTGGGACTCTGTTATTAGCCAGAGAAAATGGACTAATAATACCTATGGTTTTGTGTCTAGTGTTAATTTTGGAGAAATTCTTAGTCATTATTGTTTAAAATATTTTTTCCTTTCTCTTCTTATATTTCTATTATATGAATATGTTCGTAGATAACCAGTAGTTCCAGGATATTCTATTAGATTATTTAAGTATTTTTTTCTCTTTGTTTTTCCATTTTGGAATTTTCTATTGGCTGATGCTGAAGCTGAGATTTTTTTCCCTTAGTTATGTCCAGTTTACTAATGAGCCATTTAAAGGCATAGTGGTTCTTTCTTGGACTATGTAATGCCCCTTTGTTCTTATATGTTGTCCATTAGAATCTTTAGCAAGTAATCATAGTTGTTTTAAATTCCTTGTCTAATAATCCCAAACCCCTGCTTTACCTACTGATGCTTGCTAGCTCCCTTCAACCTGTTTTCCTTCTCATTAGTATGCTTTATAATATTTTCCTGATAGCCAGATATAATATAGTGGATAAAAGAACCTGACAAATGGGCTTTTTGCAATGCAGTGGTAGGGTGGGGAGAGGGAAAACTTCTCTAGTCTTGTGATTGGGAATTAAGTGAGTTAACTTTTAGTAAGTTTGTCACTCTGGATTATCATCTTCAGATGAGCTTCAGGCATCCCTTTCGAGTTGGCTAGAATGGCTACAGTGAGCTTGAGTTGGATACCTCCCTTTCCCTCAACTCAGGTACACCCTTTAAGACCCTGGAAGCTTATAGGCAGTGCTCATTTTCTCCTGCAGCTAGGTTTTTAGGAAGAAGAGTGCTTTGGAATATTTCTAAGTGATTCCCTTTCTTCTCCTCCTGTCCAAGGCCTAAAGGGATATTCACCGTCAGAATGTGGCAGAACTTTTGGAGGCAAAACCCTAAAGGATGAGGGCTTCCCAGACGAGGCTTCTTGAGACTTTTGTCTTTCAGACCTTTCACACCGAGCCTCCGTCAGTTCCATCAATTACAGTTCAGTTTTCCCCACCCCAGCACAGAGTCCTGCAGAGGGTCAGTGTTTTACTTTCTTTTCTAGTTCATGATGATTCTCTGTATTTAAGAGTCGGCCTCTCCATTTGCAGAGGCAGGAATTTGCCGTGTGATTTCACTTCTCTTATGGACCCAACAAGAGTTGTTGATTTTCAGATATTTTTTCATTATTTTATTTTGTTCACAATTCTCTTTCTAAAAATGTATCTTAATCATAAGAGGTATGCATGTTTAAAGCTACTAACCAGAAGAAACATTGGAAATGACTTCAACGTATTCTAAAAGGTGATTGTTAAATAAAATATAAACTCGGCCACATAAGAGAATTCCCTAAAGCGGTGGTTGCCAACTCAAGCCAATATTGTTCTCCCAGAAGACCATATGGAAGTACCTGGAAACAGTTTCTGTTGTCACCACTGGTAAGAGAAGTGCAATTGGCATTTAGTGGGCAGAGCCAAGGAATGCCACAAATCACCCAAAAACTGTGGTTTCTAGCCTCACTAGGAAGCTTCTCCTTAGCTCATATTCTTCTTAACGTGACGTGTCGTAGGAGACACCAGCCCTCTGGAAGCAGACAGCCTCCTTCTTGTATATTTTCAATAATCTTTAGTTGACTGGTGCTCTAAATCTGCTTGTGCTGTCTGTGCTTATGTCTCTCTCAGGTGCCACAGCATTGGCTGAGTGCTGGGTGTGGTTTCACGGTAGGAGGAGAAATGTCCATCTCATTGGCTGCTCCTCCTCTATGGTCTCCGTCACACAATAGCTCCTGCCATGTCTCTCTCCTCTTCTGTGCTCACCTCCCTGCATTCAGTTAGTTATGAGTACACACAGTGTCTTTTGGGCTGTCTGTTCCTTCCTTTTCCACGTCTGTCTCCCACTAGAGCGTCCTTGAATGCTCCTTCACAGCCGTCATTGTTACGATCTCCAGCGGCATCTCTACCTCTGTATTCTCGATACAAGATAGTCTTGAGTCAAGTGTATTTGTTCCTCATCTTCTTCTTCTTCTTCTTCTCCCCACCCTAGGACTGGGAAATAGTTTTCTCTCAAGCCAGCAGGCGCTTACCACTGAAGCATTATGTCTGATGGGCTGAGTGTGGGCTTGACCAGCAACAGACACGGGTTACCTTAACCACTTCCTCATCCTGTGTCTTTCTGTGGCTGGTTCTGTAGCTCCCTTGAACCTCAGTTCTTGCCTACACACTAAACATTTCCAGTTTCCTGTGGGGCTTTCAAGAGACTTAGACAATATGGCAAGTAGGAAAGGTCTTTCATGCTCCAGATGCTCAGGCAATGAGCTAGGTGCCCTCCTACCCTTCTTCCTGCTGTGCTTGTATCTTGGTTACTTTTGCATTCCTGGCACAAAATACTCAACACGTACAAGTTAAAGGGGAAAAGGTTTATTGTAGCTCACAGATTGTAGAGGTTTCAGTCCGTAGTAGGAAGGGCAACATAGCAGAGGGGCATCACAGAGGAGAAACCGTTCATGATGTGGTAGGCAGGAAGCGGCAGGATTAAGGGAGGAGTAGAGCTATGTAATACCCTTCCAGTGACCAGCCTCTTCCCACCAGACTTCCCCTATAGCATCACACCAGCTGTAAACCAAGCAGTGGACTAATCCAGTGTCACATACCCACGATCCAGTCAGCTCCCCAAAGCACCCCCTGTTAGCACATGAGGGTTTGAGGGGACATCTAGACATAAGCCATGACACCTTGCCACCCTGTTGATCATTTTTCCTCTGAGTTTGGCTAGACTTGGAAGGGGATGGGCTCACTTTCCACCTTTGGTGAGTCACTCTGCATCTTATGCTTGACATTTGGGTTGTTTCCTCTCCGGGAGCACCCTTTGGCCCCATCTCGGCCACACCTCATTCGTTCTAGTTACTGAACTTCAAGTCCCCACAAGATCCTCTCGGGGCTCTCCCTATTCTTGGTGTCTTCTGCTACAATACAGTCCCTCCACCCCCCAACAAGGGGTCTTTAAGATCATTAGCTGAAAGGAAAGACCTTCAATAGAACAGGAAATGACAAGCTGGAGTAAGACCATTTGTATATGAGACTTTTGGCTCCTCTGTTGAGTGCCAAGAACCCTCCTAAGAAGGCTGCTTCACAGCTGCCTTTCCCTGTCACATCCAGGTCCAAATCCCCACTCTAGGCAGCAGTCAGAGGTGGGCTTTGGACACCGTCCCTCCTCCACTGTGGCCCATCCTTCACCTCCTGACTGAGCCTCGTGACCCCACAAATTGCATGTGTCAGTCACTGAGCCACAGAGAGCAGTAGTGACCAGAAGCCTGACACTGGGAAAGTCTAAATTCATACCCTGCCTCCTCCACTTCTTCTCTGACTCTCTTTGTGTAAGTGCATAATTGAATGACAAAGAGCCTATGCAGCAGGAGTGAAGTCAGCTAACTCAGTGGTGCACCCAGCGAGCCCTCCCTAGACAACTGGCTCCCAGACGCAGCACCCTGAGCTGTGCAGTGACAGAAGACTCAGCACATGACACAGTCTCTAAGTGAACTTGGCCTGGGACCTTGTGGAAGGGGTGATGGGGCTAGCTTCCACTGTGACAGAGACACCTACTACCCAGGTGTAGCCTGACGGCCCCCATGGTGAGATCGTGCACCTGCACGTCACAGTGAGCACCAGATTCCCATATCCCCAGTTCGCTTTCAGAGAACAGTGTGTTCAGGAGTAAGTGAGGAAGCACATGAATAATAATTTTTTAAAACATGGCTCTTGCAAAAAATAAAACATTGTCTTTTTCAACCTAGTGTGTCTGTGTGTGAGGGGGGTATTCTGGAGCAATTATTGCACAGATTGTACCAGTTTAAACCAGGTTTCACTACACTGTCAATTTATGTTTTAAAAATAATCAAACCATTTGAGTCTGAATCCCTAGTCAGCAGGAATGGATGTCAAAGCTCAGGTAGTGGTTGCTATGACAACTCAAAGCTTCACCAGAAGCTGGGTGGGCCAGCAGCTCAGGGCCAGGGGATTATTGCAGGAAATTCTTCTACTGAAATGATGATTACACTGCAGCTCCAATTCTGAGCACAAAGATACTGAATCTTTCATAATGCACATATATTTCATGGTGCTGTAATTTGTTTTCAACCACCACATACGTATGGTGAGTCTTCACCTTTGAAAATGAAGAATAGCTCCTTCAGTCATTGGCTGCTCTGCTTTCTGTCTAAACACGAAGTGCCTTTGCACCTTCTGCTTCTCTCAGCTCTGGCCTGAAGCTGCCTCTGTGCCTTTCATTGATTCTGACTCTTGGCCAGTGCCCAGCTGTCCAGGGCCTCTCACCATTGGCCTGCCGGATCTGCCCACTCATTCCTCAAGTCTGTTGATGGGTCGACCTTTGGTTCTTCTAACTTTGGTTTTTCTGCTCTGTTCGCTAGTTCCTGTGAGCTTTCTCACTTGTCCAGTATAATCATTTTCTGTGAAATTGATGAACCCTAAGGAATAAATGGTTTAACATGGCCACTGCATCCTGAACTTGCCCCTTCACCTAGCCAGCCCAGAATTCTGTGTACTTGTGAAAAGGAATCCAGGTTGCTGCCATCAAAAACTGAAACCTCTTGGTTTATTGCGGTAAGAGAGGTCACAAAATAGTTTGAAGTTGTTTAAAGTTTCAGTTAATCCCTTTGTAGCCAAATTATGGCTGCACACAGACAAATTTAACTAGTTTCCTTAATTATAAGGCAGGCCCTGTTATTATTTACACTGAAGGAGAAAATAGACGTTCAAGTTAAGAAGAGATGGTCAGCAGATAGGCAGCAAGGTTTCAGTGCCGTTTCATACCCATATGACATAAGAATGGTTAAATACCATGCTGAACTTTGATCACTGGCATTTCGAATTGTGATATGTGAAGTTATTTCACTTCTGACAAATAGGGTGAAAACTTGTTGACAAAAATTTATAGGAGAGACTTGAAGAATAAAGTGTTCCTGATGTATTGTTAAACACTCCAAGAGTCACATATTTTAAGTGTTTGATTTTTTTTAAAAAAGTTCCCAAGGATAATCTGTTTTCCAGTTAAACATTAGGGTGTTATCGTTTTAGATATAAATGCCAAGGCTATCAATAATATCAAGTACAGTTTTATGACCCTTTCTTTCACAAAAGAAATAACAATATTTTACTTCAACATAGTATCCTATAGATGGTAGATACTGTCTTATAAATCCAGTTTTCTTTACTTAGAGTGTTCCTTCCCTCACATTCCTTCTGTTTCCCTCTGAATACATTTTCAGCTAAATTACTGAAGCAAAGTGAAAAGATAGGATTAATTTCTTTAAAAATAAGATAAATCTCACTTATTGAGGATAGGAAAGAGTTGCAGCCAGTAGCTCAGTGATAGAGCAATTGCCTAGATATGCATGACCCTGAATCCAATCTACAGCACTACAAAAAAGGCAGGCAAAAGAAAAATGAATGAAATAAGCCAGACTTGTATATATACTGTATCATCTTACAGACTTCTTTTGTGTATGATATCTCAAAAAATCAAACTCATAGAAACAGAGAGTAGAATAATTAACCAGAAGCTGGAGGGAAGGAGAAATGGGGAGATGTTGGTCAAAAAATACAGTGTCAGTTATAAAAGATAAGGCCTGGAGATCTAATACACAATATGGTTACTCTAGCTAGCAAAACTGCACTGTACACTTGAAATTTGCCAAGAGACTAGGTTTTAAGACTCATCAATATCATATACAAAAAGATAAAACTATGTTAAGTGATGGATATGTTAATTAGGTTATTTATACATATATCAAAACATACATATTATATCCATGTATAAATATATACACGTTAATTTATCAATTATACATTCATAAACTTACCAAAGTTATCAAATGAGGTCAATGGTCAGAAATTGGTAATTACAAAAGACATGCAAACATGATCATTTGATTACATTTATAGTTTCTCACATTTTCTTTGACAAGACTATATGGCCAAAATAAAATGAAATGTTTAGGTTTTAAGCAGCAGTGTCAGATAATTACATAAAAGAAGAAACAATTGTGTGCAGTAAATGAATGTGCTAAGAGTCTTATTGATGTTTGTCCTTCTTTTTGGTGTTTGCTCATTCTTGCATGTTCAGCAGCTATTTTTCCCCATTTTAATTGTACAACTAAGAACCTAGTTAGTATAAAACACGTATTGTTATTAAGCAGATATCTAAGTTTTCTCATATTATTAAATTTGGGTTTGTCTTTTAATACTATAATAAAAATATAAAAATAAAATTACATTCTTATATACACTGACTATATTATGTATATTATATGTGGCTCAAGAAAATTCCTCTTCACTCAGTGTGACCTAAGCAAGACAGAAGGTTGGACACTCATGCTATAGGTGGTAGACTCCATCTATCAGTCTGTCTCTGTCTGTCTGTCCACCTATCTGTATGTGTGTTCCAAGGGCACTAACATGCTCAGCTTGCCTTGCATCCTCACACAGTGGCTTTTGTCAGTCATGCCTTCTCTCTTGTGAGGCACTAAATGTCCAACCTTGTAATCAGTAGTGTGACAGAAATCAGTGACTTTATGAAGGCCAGGCACGAGTTTAGTTCTGCTTGGAAGAGTCTCAAGACCGAGTCTCCAGCTTTGCTAATTCACTGGAAAGACTCACAGGAAAAAGCGGCAGATTATACTTGTAATAGTAGAAAGGCACAGCAAAAGAGCAACAGGAGGGAAAGGTGCGCATTTAGCAGAGCCCCATGAGGTCGGGCGGGGTGTTCTCTGTGATGGGTCGGGTCGCACAGGAGCACTGTCACTTGACAGTGAAAGGTCTCCCAGGAACCAGAGTGAATACAGGTGCGGGCTTTTGTGAGGGCTGGCCATGAGGACAGGCCGTCCCTGCACTGACTTATTCCAAGACCCAAACAGTAACCCAGGCATGCGTCATCTATCCTGTTTCTGTGCGAAGCGAACCTGACAACCACCAAAGCGTGGCCCAGTGTCCCATTTGGAAAATACACCATTACTTACTATGACAAAGCCTGCAGAGACTCACACGTAGGGCTCGGCCACGGGTCACTTCAAGGGTGGTTTCAGTTTTCCTTGGAGACCACAAGCACAGGGCTGACAGATTTGCTCTGTGAACTCTTTCTTTATGCCTCTGTGATCACAGTGGAATGAATCATTTATATCAGTTAGCAGTAAACTTCAGGAGGCAGGAAAACAAGAATGTTTTTAATTTCTGATTTAAAAATCTGGACTCCACATTTCATTAATTGTGAAAATTTGTGCAAATATTTTACTGTGTTTACACCTCTAGTTTCTTATCTATGAAATGCTATTAATGATAGTAGCAAACTTGTGGAGTTATGTCATTTGTACTGATATAACAAAATACCCAAGGCTGAATAATGTATAAAGAACAGATTATTTCTCACAGTTGTGAAGGCTGGGAAATTCAAGACCAAGGTGTTAGAAGGCGCAATGTCTCGAGAAATCTGCTCGATACTCCCCCGAGATGGAGTCTTGTTGCTGCATCTTCACATGGTGGAAGGCAGAAGGGCAAAGACGGAGGGAGGCAGCTCCCTTGCACCTCTTTTGAAAGGGTTCCAGTCTCTAACCTAAACACCCTACCTCCTAATACTCTCTGTGATGATTAACTTGCACCATGTGAATTTTGAAAGACACTTTCAGACCATAACATGAGCCTTGGGGCCATGAAGTATCAGATTGACCTCCAGAGAAGCTGGAGACTAAGAGCAGCTACATCTCCATGAAAAATCCCCAGTAAGATCTCTGGACATCAAGGTTTAGGTAAGCTTTCCAGAGAGTTGTATCATTGCTGAGAGAAGGAAACTCTGTCCTCCCCACTCCACAGAGATACAACTGGAAAGAAGCCTTGTGCTTGTCGGCCTCTGGCCCCTGCCATGCAGCTCCTTCCTTTGCCTGATTTTAGCCTGTGTCTGTTTGCTGTAATAAACTGTAACCCTGAGCTTGGTAGCTCGGCTGAGTTTTTTCAGTCTGTCTTGTGAACTATGAATGTGGGGATTCCTGACCTTGCAGTTAATGTCAGAAGTGAAGGTAGTTTTATGTAGGTGTAAGTGTCAGTGAAGGGGAAATTTGTAGTTACATAAAGCCTAAAATCTGTTTATTCCCTGGTCTAGAAACTCTCAATTTGTTCCTAGGTTAGTGAAAAATGAGATATTTGAAAGGCTCTTGTCTTACTTTCTCTTGTCATGGAATGAAATTGTGGTCGTGAGATTGGTATAAAAGCTTAGGCCTCAAATGAACTATTTTTGGTAAATTAAATGTAACTCTGCTCTCAGTTTTCTTCTTTTATTCAATGTTTGACATTTGTATTTGCTGAACAAAGAGGAAAGTGCTTACTTTTTTCCATGACCTTGACCTACGTGTGAGGAAGCTAACAGATCTCTGATAAGTAAGCCCTGGCCTCTGGCAACACCAGCAGTGGCGGATATTATAAAATAGTCACCCTTGAGGACAGGTTGAGTTTTTCCCAATTTGGATACGGATCTCGATTACTCAGTTATACCTGAAGACCTCTCTCACAGAGCACAATCTCGACCCAGACCAAGCGGTGCAGAACACAAGTGCTAAGTTATGGAAAATACATCCGGAGACAGCCTTCCTCTGGGCTCCCCTGCTACTTCTCTGGGCGTGGCTTGCAGTACTCTGTCCTTTTGGCCCCATAGATTTTCCCAGGGCCATCTGGAGTCAGGCCTGTCCCATCAGCATTTTGAAGCATCACATTCTTTTAAGAACTCTGAAAGACAAACAAACATCTGATGTTTGGGCTCCATCTGCAAAAGAAATAAAAATTTTATTATTCCAACCCTCCGTTTTCTGGGAAATGATCCAAATATGTGATAGTAGATGCTTGTCACACTATAAGATCTATACTATGATGTGTACAACATCTTTTTGTAATTGCATTTTGTAGTCATTGAGTTTTAATCCTTTAATATTTAATGTGCAATCATTGTAAATGCTTCTTAATTTAACTGCATTTACTCACTCTATATACAAATGTATTTGATATTTAAATAAGTAATTTGTATTATATATTCTCCTGTCCATTTTGCAGATAAGGAACCTGAGTCTCTTTTATGTAGCAATAACAAAATACCTGCTCTCGGATAATATAGAAAGAAGAGGGGTTTTTAGCTCATGATTCTGGTGGCTGAAAATCCACACACTGTGGCAGTGGCATCTGATTGCTTCACAACATGGCAGTGGCGTCACACGAAGGGAGTGATTGTGACAGCGAGCAGTCCCACGGGAAGAGAGGAACTAGAGAGTGGGAAGGACCCGAATCACCCTTTCGTAGCAACCTGCTCTCACGGAACTAACCTCCTCCTGCAAGACCCAGCCCTCTCCGCGAGACCAGCCGTGCTCTGCTCTTCCGCGGTGACCATAACCCGAGCACCTTCTGTTTGGCCTCATTTCTCAAAGGTCCCGTCACCTCTCAATACCGTGGCGCTGGGACCAGGCCTCCAGGACATGAGCCTTTGGGAGGCAAATCACTTCCACACCACAGCACGGTATCAAGTTCCGTACGGTGAGCACAGAGAGTGCAGCGTGGCTGTTAGTCTGTATTTTGAGTCAGATATTTTCCTTTTCTAAGCCACTGGGAAAGCGGCAGTGTATTGGTCGCTCTTCCTCACTCTGACGAAATGCCTGATAACTAACTTACAGAAAGTTTAGCTTGTCTCGTAGTTTCAGAGATTTCTGTCCTAGGATTGGGAGATCTATTTCCTTGGACCTCTGGTGTGCATGTTGGATGGCAGCCGTGGGGAGCACATGATAGAATGAAGTGCTCAACTCATGACCAGGAAACAAGACAGAGAGAAAGGGCAGGAGACCAGGGCCCACACCTCAATGACCTAAGGGATAGGTCACCCTCACCGTTTGGAAGTCCCATCACTCCCAGAAAGGCCACCTGGGTACTGGGGTTTTAACAAAGGGGTCTGTGAGGGGCAGTTCTCCACACTGTCGCCGCGGTGACAGTACTTCTATAGAAGGTTATCGTGAGGTTTAAGCAAAAGTACACTAAAAAGATCGCTTCACATCAGCCGGAAACAGAGGAGGTGTCTAATCAGTGTTTATATTATTTCCATTGTTATTAATATGAGGCATCTCAGTGATCGGCCACAGATCAATATCTAGTAAACTTCATTTACAAGATTTAGACTCCTGCTTTATGTCCAGGTCTCATTTCTTCAACTGCTTCGAAAGGAAGCCCTTGCATGAACAAACTGGATCCTGCTGCAGGGACTCAGTACCTCATCAAAATTGGATTTTCTCATCAATATGATGGAAAAGAAACTTTACTTATTTACTTCTGATTTCCTCCTTTCCTAACCTTTACATGCAAATATGTCCCCAAATATTTTCATAAATCAAGCTATATCTCACCTCGCCTGCCTCGCAAGCTCAAGGTCCTGAGTTCGAGCCCCAGTACAAAAAAAAAAAGAAGATATATATATCTATAGATAGATAGATAGATAGATAGATAGATAGATAGATAGATATCCTATTTTCTGGAGTAGCTTATCAAATTCAACTTCTGTGAAATTTTAAAGACTTAAGCAGTGAACCCTTAAAATATGTGTTTTAGGATGAAGAGCAGGTCTTCCATTGAGAACCAAGACCATATCAGAAAAGCAAGTCACACCACTACATTCTTTCCCCCGATTCATTTTTTCCCCCGATTCATTTTCTTGGCAGCCTCCCCACAACTAGCTGACCACAAGTGAGAGTTTCCTTATTGACTCTTAATTCTATTCCATGTGTCCGTGTCTCTTATGGCAGTAGCACACAAGTGTAATTTCTGAAGTTTTTAGTTAAGATTTGGAGTTGAGATATGCAAGGTCTTCAAAGTTCTTTTTTCCAAGATTGTTTTACCTATTCTGGGTCCTTTGAATTCTCATATAAATTTTAGAATGGGATTAACAGTATCAGAACAATGCCATCTTGGAGTTTTAAAACTGAAATTGTTTGTGTAATTCCCCTTTCATATTGCTTTCCATTGTTACTATACAGAAATACAATTTATTTCTGTATATTGATCTTGTACACTGCAACTTTATTGAACTTCCTTATTATTTCTGATAGATTTTCTGTGGCTTCCTATAATTTCTATATATTATACTATTGGCCTATATATTATGATATCTGTAAATAGAGATTTTTTTTTATTTACCCCTGTCCAATACAGGTGTCTCATTTCATTCTCATGCTTAATTTCCGTATATAAAATTTGCTGTTCAATTTTAAATACAAGTGGAGTTTTCCACCATTCAATATGCTGTTAGCTGTGAGTTTTTCTAGACTATTTTATCAGTTTGAAGAAGCTATTTCCTGTTCCATATTTTTGACTGCTTTTATCATGAACTTATATTTGTTTTGCTAAGTGCTTTTCTGCAGCTATTCAGATGACAATGTTATTTTTTGTTCTTTATTCTATTGATGATGTATTTTCATTGTATTAACCCAACCTAGCATGCGGCACTCATTTCAAGCTATTTTCTTATTTCTCCTGTTTTTTTCTTCCTTGACTTTTTTTTCCCCCCATTAAGTTTATTGGTTCATTTTAGGTATAAAATAGTTACATTCATCATTGGGAACTAGTACCATTACATGAGTCTCTTGGTTCTTATTTTTTTCCCCATTCCCTGCCCTCCCTTCACCCCCTCCACCCCTCCCCACTTGCAAAGATCCCGTTTCCATTTTTTCCCTTCCTCATATATTTTCCCCTTTCCTCTCCCCCTCCCACCTCCCCCACACCCCTAGACCTTTACTTCCTTTTACATGATATCAATTACACATTTTTAAAATTAACATATCAAGACCTACAAGACATTACCACAGATTTTACAGAATTTAAAGGATATAGAAAGCATAGTACAAAAATCTTTTTTGAAATGAATTTGACAACTTCTAAGAAGTACCTTGGAAGACAAATTAATGAAACTAACTCTGGAG